GGAGTTTTTGGCTGCTGGATGGCTGATTCTGCTATTTGCTTTATTAGCTTTAGTTCTTCTTCATCATTTTTTTTCTTGGGCGTTTTATTGACCTTCAATCTTTTTTTAAGAGGCTCACTTGAACTGCCTGTATAATTGCAGTTTCCAGAATCAGCAAATTCTTCCTCTTCCTCTTCACCTTCGGAATCATTAAACGATGCATCTGCTGACGATGTACTTGGGGTAGATAGCTGGAACAAAAGTAAAATATATTACTTAAATGATATATATATATATACCTGCATGAATAAACTCATTACTTACAGAATCAATACTGTTGCCCCTTGTTGCTACAAAAGGCTCCAGAAATTGCAGTTTGTACTTCAACCACTGGTTCYGTGGTGAGGCAGGCTTTCTTGCACTCCCACTTTTGCTTATTGCTCGTAATCTAGYGTAGGTGTTTCTCAATGACCTAAGCTTCCTCTTGATCCATTCAGCTGAATAAAAAGGGAAGGATTTTACATGAATTTTATATGTTAAAAATATATAAATTATTCAACAAATCTAAGATTATTATGATAATATATTATTTTAATGTCACTGCAGATCGTTCAGCTTTCAAAGGGCTCCATGATAAAAAAAAGAAACATATTTTTTTGGTGTTTTAAGTTCAGACATTTATATAAATGATTGATATGGCGTTCAAAAATGTCATCATTATAACTTCTCTGAATTAATTGTATAAAAATCACAAAAGTTTATTCATATTTCTATATTTCAACATGTTATATAACATTAATAAGGACTATAATTTTCCACAAAAACATAAGCATTTTATTAATTAAAGCTGTATATGCGATTGCTTTATGCCGAATGATTTATCAAAATCGTTTATCGCCGATTGAACTTATAGTGACATTACGTTTTTAAGGCGCTTTATCTTACCTGACTGGTTCACTTTCCTTTCCAGCTCACTTATGCTGGCCTCTCTGAGAGTACGATTTTTAAAATCAGTAGACCGAACATCGTACAAACAAGGATAATCCGGCCAGAGTTCAACCAATTTCTCTTCTTGTTGCAGTTCTACCACTGGCGCCGCCATGTTTGTTTTGATTTTGAGGTCATCACGTGACAAAACGGGCGCTTATGATTGGCTGTGGTGAAAAATCAGGCGAGCAAAACGTTCACGTCCTCCGCAAACGTTGCAATTTTCGTCATGCGAGTTCAAAATTTTCAAGTAAGAGAGAAAATTGACTCAGCGCCTCGCGAGAAGTTAAAACATTCGAAATCTACCCGCAAACGGTGAGTTTTCTGCCTCGCGTGCCAGTGAGAAAATTGCTCGCGAGGCAAATTGCTCACCGTGTGCGGCGGCCTTTCAGCCGTTAAACGAGTGTGCAATCCAACTAAATCTAAATTCAAAGCTATTTTGAAAATATACGATACTAAGAGGTCTATACGACGGTTATCTAGATAAAAACTCAAAAYAGAGCAATAATAATTCGCAAGTGAGTAGTTTCAGCAGATTCAAACGTGACACGACGCGCGGGAAACAAACTAACAGCAGGGAATTACGAATTACGATGAAAGAAGCAACGCCATTGGCTACAACCCCCGCAACCACACGATCGCTGCGAACCAATGAGAAAAGCCGTTCAGACAGAGGTGCATTACCGGAACAACAGACCGCTTTGAAATACATGAATGCGTTTGAATCAACTCCCAAGGATATCACAGATGATGCTAAGGGAAACGGATAGGCCTTAACATTTCGGTTTCTTCTTCATAAACCAAAAGAAAGCTATGATAACCAGGTTAAAAAAATAAAATATAATAGGTCAATTTGGATTTATCTTAACTTGCATCTCGTGACCTTGAGTACATTTGTTTGACAAAAACGAAAGAGCGAGAAAGGAATTATCCTGCGAAACGAAAACAGAAAGTCCGATGAGAAAATGGCGCCAAAAAAACCCCCAAAAAGTAAAATTGAACGAAACGACTGCCATTTTGAAAAATATTCAAAAGTTTCAATCTGTTTTAAAGAGAAGATGTAAGTATGACTGGATCTAGAAATATAGTGAAAAACCTGCGTAGCCAGGCGTTACTGAAAGTAGCAGTTCACAAAGATGGTATAATAAAAATTTTAAAATAATGGATCGAGCAGGTTACAAATATAAATATATATGTAAATTTTTGGCGGGAATTCTTTTGAGTGAAGTTGGTATCATGGCAACCAGCAGTGAGATAAGCATGCTTCAGCAAACTTTTCAAGACATTTTAGTATCAGGTTTATAGCTAACCTATAGGAATCAGGCCCAGAAACACGCCCGTAAACACGATGAGATGCTCAACATCAATGAAATTCGTTATGACGCCTTGCTGAATGTCGAAAGGTTGGCAAAGGATGCCTGGCATCGAACTGCAGTTTGAAGTTTGCGGTACCTATCAAGAACGTCGTGCTGGGGGACAACATAAAAAACGATGAGTTTTTCCCTGAGTATTAATTAAAAACTTTAATTGCTTTGAAATACGCGATCATTCTGGTGCAAGATAAAGCTAAATTTCTCGGTGTATGCGTATCATTGATCTTAACTAATAAAGTTGTTCACGTCTCCAAATATCTAGTTATATTAGATGTTAAATAATTAATAACCAATTGGAGACAAATTATTTAATCTTTTCAGAAAACAGTGATAATGAATGACAACTACAGATAAAGGCGTGAGTCGTACGTGGCTGACCTAACGAGTGAGTATTTGTTAAGCTCACCGTTTAATATAAGGGATCATGATTGGCCATTCCGAGGTTGGGTAAAAACCTGGGTCGAGTTAGCATTGCAGTGCACTTTGGGACTGTTTGAGGGGACATATTTCCAAGATGGCGTTTACTTCATCCCCTAAAAAGGTCCCAAAATGCCCTGTGCAATGTTAGTTCGAACCAGTTTTTTCCCTCAACCTCGCAATGGCTTATAGACACCCCGCCCGTGCAGTATCTTTAAGATTGAAATTCCAAATATGCCTAGCCGCCATGTTGGTATCAGTGGTTATCGCGAAGTTTCACAAAAAGCATTACAATAATAATAGTTTGTAACAAACCTGATGAAAATAGACCACACACAAAAAATATATAATATAAAAAAAATGTCATGCCGCATGCGCATTGAAAACTATAGAGTTGTTGTCATGACGACGCACGTGATCACATCCAGGCGGTAAACAATGCTTACTTTAACGTATATGAAATCGATGGCAATTTGAGCTAACACGCAGAAAAAAAGAAGCATGCTGAGAAAACGCTAAAAATGTCAAACGTTTCCCCTTTTTTAAAAGCATATCAATTTCTGCCACTGATCACGTGATCTATATTGAAATTTTCCTATAAGTTTAAAATTTTAAAGAAATATATGCATGCATGTTACAAACGGTTGTCAAGGTTACGTCTTTATATATAAAGGCTTTTCCATGACAACGAAATTACTATGCAACGATAAAAGGACTGGGTTCCCTGTGCTGAGAAACCTCAAAGGTCGCCACAGGGAGCCCAGTCAGTAACATTTTAGAGCAATGAACTAACTAGTTACGGTCAAATATACGTCCAATAAGTGTGCAACATCTCATGTGAGTACTACAAGTGGATTTCGTGTTGTGAGACGGTAACCAAGAGATACCACTGAAGCTAGAAATGGGTTTCTTGGTGTTCTGGATTTTTCTTGCTCCAGTTGATATCGATTTCCTTGCAACAGAATAACAACAAATAGTGAAAAATGGTAGTGGAGGGGGAGGGGAGGGATGGGGAATGGCGTCTTAAGTATGAAAATCTTTGGGGGTTGCCGACAGAGACAGCAGGGGTAATGAACCCAAAATGCATTAGTAAAGACGACTATAAGGATTTAGGGTTCGAGGTAATGTAAGGAGAGGGGTCTGGATAGGAAGGTACCAACAAAAGTGAACTGCGGGGGGTACTAACCGAAGGAGCAGGGGTAATATCTTTAACTTCTTCTTCTTCGATGTCCCATTCAAAGTCGTGTCCAGGCAACCACGATAGCAACCAATCCTTAGTTGGAAACAGCAACTTAGTGTCCAGGGTCGCGGCATAAGCGCGGTCAGCCTTTGTTTCTTTAGAAAAGCAAAACAAAACAGACGAAAAAGAGAATTAAGTTATATACAAAACATTTACGTAGATTTTATAGAGGAAAAGCTTGGCATGTGACGTTACGTTGCCATGGAGACGTACCTGTAACGAGACTGACAATAGCCCCAACCACGAAGGACACAAAGACAGACAGACCAGAGAACCACAGATATGAGATGCTGTAGAAGTCAGCTATGCCGTCACTGTATGGAAGTGAAAAAGATGAAGAACGAAGTGAAAAGATGGGCGAAACTATTGTAACATGACGCTGTGCTTCAAGGAAGCAAGGAAGCAAGGAAGCAAGGAAGCAAGGAAGCAAGGAAGATATTTCCTGTCTTCTAACCTGTGTGGTTTCCAGTCATTCTCGATGATTCCCGTGCTGTTATCGGTTGTAGCATTGAACCAGGAACACTCCTGTACGGATCTTCTACCAGGGTACTTATTGGGAGGGTAAAATTGAGCGCCAATGAAGACCCACGTAGTAATGGCAGCACCGATAAAGATCCCTGCATAGGCTCCCTAATAATATGATAAATATTTTAAAACTATATTCATATAGCAGCGGTCAAAGGGATGATGGTCGATGCTCGACGGACCTTGACTGGAACCCGTGAATATTCTGCACAAAACCGAGGCTTACCCTGTACAAATGAGTCCGCAAACAAGGAACACAGCGGTAATTTGGAACTCGAAAATGGTCTATTTAAGAATAATCGATTTTATGAGGTTTTCCTGGTCGGTTTTGACAGTGATTAAATGTGTAGGACGACACACCTTATAATTGGCTCGTCTTATGAACATCCCAAGTAAGAAAGTGCCCAACAGAGGTCCACCGCAGATACCAAATATACTGTAGGCGAGCTGCCAACACAACAAAAGATCATAAGAAATAAGCTTCACAACATTTTAGATAAAGAATTCACGAGTTTCCTCGTCGGGTCCGCATGGTTTTGAATGCTGACCAGAATAATCGCAGTCTAGTTTTTATTTTACCTGAAGCACCATGGTACCGACAAACTGAACTAAAAATGCACCACCAATGACAACTACTCCAAACCCTAGAGCTAAAACGAAATCATAAAAAAGAGTTACAAACTGGAAATGAATTCAATTAAAATTCAAACTCCCCTTTTTTATGGAGAGATATCTCCCCTTTCTCCTGTTTTTCCACCTTCTCTTTTTTTAGGGAGAAATACTGAGTATTTCTTGTCTCCTGTTTTCCCACCACCTCCCCTTTTTTAGGGAGAGACCTCCCCTCTTTTGGGGAGAAAAACGGACAGCTATTTTCTACGGTTTTTCCACCTTCTGCCCTTTTTTAGGGAGAGTCGATAGCGACAACTTTTTTTGCCTTTTCGACATAATCTACCCTCACAATCCATTTTTTATGGAAGAAAACTACTACTACTTCATCAACTACTTACAACCTACCAATTGCTTTACACATTTTAGCCTGGTCGCCATCTGTGACGTCTCGCATTTTCTTCTTAATAATATCTTCCAATATAACCAGAGCCATTGCGTTCAGAGCCGACGATGCGGTGCTGTAGACATAGGTTGGTATTTAGGTATTATTTTATTTAGACACGCTTGCCCCGACAACTAATAATTTCTAAGTCATGAACCTTCAGCTGTACAAGGAAAGTATTTTGACTGCCCTCAATCTATATATTTTGCAACTACGCAGATAAACAATTTTGACGTGTACGTTGTGGATTTGGATGGGCCATGAGATTGAGAGATATAGAGACAAAGATATAGATACTAACCTTAGCGCGCCTGCGTACAGACACGCGGTGAACATTCCCGGCAGCCCTTTCAAGTGTCCAAGTTTGTTGATGACGAAATATGGAAGAACCTGAAACGACATTTACGTACTATATTTACTATATTTATATCTCAAAAATAGTTACCAACCTTTGCTGCAGTTTTAATATATGTCTATTTTATATGTTATGAAATAATGGATAGTAGAAAAAAGTGCACTAAACCTGGTCGTTACTTGTGATTTTTTTGTCTTTTGAAAGATCACATCCCGAGTAAACAGCAAAGATGACTAGACCATCGAGGCAGCACAACGTGACAATGACCATCAAACCAGGCACGTTTAGCCAAACCACCCTGAAATAAATACAGCAAGTGAGATTGAGCGTTTATGTTCCTAGTGATTCTGAATATGGCTGTACGTCCCATGAAGTATAGAACACTTGCATGCGACGTCAAAGGAGCTCAATTTGGAGGACAAAACAAAAGAATTTGAATCTCCGGAGAATTGAACACCTATTGTTATGTTCTTAAGTGCTTCGGGGAGTCTATCGGTTGTCAAAGGTGGTCAACTATTTGTGGCGTCGCTGCTGTTTATCGTGCATGGTCGTTTGTTATCAGTGGTCGGAGGAGTAGCATCTTAATATGCTCGGCTGAGGTGTGGTCGGATTTACAGGTGGTCGCTAGTGCGGTTTAAGCATCTTTTAGCGGTTATTTGCGTGTACTCACCTTCTCGCTGCTTTAGTGTTCGGTACAGACAGGAACCTCTGTACAGCGGTCTGACTGACCGTCCAGACAGGCATTGCTGTTAATGCACCTCCAAGGGTCAAAGTCCAGAATGTGTTGCGAACCTTGGGGTCTGGGTTGAAGCTGAGTGAAAAATATTTAAATGAGAAGTACGTTTGGCTATTAATTTATTTAAGGATTTATTGTCTCATGGCTTCAAAATCAAATCGTCCTGGTTTGAAAGAGTAATACGCTGAAGGAGAGCTCAGAAGCTGAAAAAGTTTGGCATATAAGACATTGCGTTTTCAATAGCAAAAATAATTCATTCAGTGCACGATGTGCGAGAGCAGAGCTCAACAGTAGGGTCCGGTTGTACGAAGCCTGGATAGCGCTATCCAACGGATAAAACTTATCCAGTGGATAAATTTATTGGATAACAGCATCGATTTATTCACTGGATAAGGATTTGTCCGCCGGATAGCGCTATCCAGGCTTCGTACAACCGGACCCTGATCCAAATCTACTCAGTTGCCATTATAGTTTAAAGCATGACTACGTTACGAACATTTCCCAGTCCTTCTCTTAGGAATTTGACCACGAGGAGTATGGGTATAAAATTAAGGCATCACTTTCGCTTTACTTACTCGAAAAACTTCATGCGACCAAACTCCTTGTTGATTCTCCAGACTTCACTCATTCCTCCCACCTCGTTACTACCAACAATAACTACGGCTATCAATCCTGCTACCATGACAACAGACTGGAACACGTCCGTCCAAATGACAGCCTTTAGACCACCCTGGAAGAGATGAGACAACACAGAATATTCACTGTAATGAAGAATGAACCTTCATTAACCGACAACCTCTATTACACATCAAAACTTTAATTAACCGACCATGCAACCCCCATTACTCATCAAACCTTACCGACCAACCTATTCTTAACCAAGCAAACCTTACCGACCAACCTATTCTTAACCAAGCAAACAAACCTCTTTTTAGCGACCAGTTGTCAAATTCGCAAAGAGGATGTTTGCAGTAACTGCTGTGTAATGACGGTGGCAATGATAATTTTGGTCAGACAAAAGGTTTGTTATACGTAATTGTTGTTGTTGTTGATGGTGATAATATAGAGATGATGGTAGTGTGGTGTGGTGTGGTGAGGTGTGGTGGTGTGGTGTGGTGTGATGTGTTGTGGCGTGTTGTGGTGTGGTGTGGTGTGGTGTGGTGTAGTGTAGTGTGGTGTGGTGTGATGTGATGTGTTGTAGCGTGTTGTGGTGTGGTGTGGTGTGGTGTGGTGTTGTGGGGTGGGGTGTGGTG